TGGCATTTTTCACGAAACTAGAACAAAAAATTTCACAATTTGTATGGAAACACAAAAGACCCCGAATAGCCAAAGCAATCTTGAGAACAAAAAACAGAGCTGGAGGAATCAGGTTCCCTGACTTCAGGCTATACTACAAAGCTACAGTAATCAATACAGTATGGTACTGGCACAAAAACAGAAATATAGATCAATGGAACAGGATAGAAAGCCCAGAGATAAACCCACGCACATATGGTCACCTTATCTTCGATAAAGGAGGCAAGAAGTGGAGAAAAGACAGCCTCTTCAATAAGTGGTGATGGGAAAACTGGACAGCTACATGTAAAAGGATGAAATTAGAACACTCCCTAACACCATACACAAAAATAAACTCAAAATGGATTAAAGACCTAAATGTAAGGCCAGGCACTATCAAACTCTTAGAGGAAAACATAGGCAGAACACTCTATGACATAAATCACAGCAAGATCCTTTCTGACCCACCTCCTAGAGAAATGGAAATAAAAACAAAAATAAACAAATGGGACCTAATGAAACTTCAAAGCTTTCACACAGCAAAGGAAACCATAAACAAGACCAAAAGACAACCCTCAGAATGGGAGAAAATATTTGCAAATGAAGCAACTGACAAAGGATTTATCTCCAAAATTTACAAGCAGCTCATGCAGCGCAATAACAAAAAAACAAAAACCCAATCCAAAAATGGGCAGAAGACCTAAATAGACATTTCTCCAAAGAAGATATACAGATTGCCAACAAACACATGAAAGAATGCTCAACATCATTAATCATTAGAGAAATGCAAATCAAAACTACAATGAGATATCATCTCACACCAGTCAGAATGGCCATCATCAAAAAATCTAGAAACAATAAATGCTGGAGAGGATGTGGAGAAAAGGGAACACTCTTGCACTGCTGGTGGGAATGTAAATTGATACAGCCACTATGGAGAACAGTATGGAGGTTCCTTAAAAAACTAAAAATAGAATTACCATACAACCCAGCAATCCCACTACTGGGCATACACCCTGAGAAAACCATAATTCAAAAAGAGTCATGTACCAAAATGTTCATTGCAGCTCTATTTACAATAGCCAGGATGTGGAAGCAACCTAAGTGTCCATCAACAGATGAATGGATAAAGAAGATGTGGCACATATATACAATGGAATATTACTCAGCCATAAAAAGGAACGAAACTGAGTTGTTTGTAGTGAGGTGGATGGACCTAGAGTCTGTCATACAGAGTGAAGTAAGTCAGAAAGAGAAAAACAAATACCGTATGCTAACACATATACATGGAATTTAAGAAAAAAAGAAAAAAAAAGGTCATGAAGAACCTAGGGGCCAGACGGGAATAAAGACACAGACCTACTAGAGAATGGACTTGAGGATATGGGGAGCAGGAAGGGTAAGCTGTGACAAAGTGAGAGAGTGGCATGGACATATATACACTACCAAACGTAAGGTAGATAGCTAGTGGGAAGCAGCCGCATAGCACAGGGACATCAGCTCAGTGATTTGTGACCACCTAGAGGGGTGGGACAGGGAGGGTGGGAGGGAGGGAGATGCAAGAGGGAAGAGATATGGGAACATATGTATATGTATAACTGATTCACTTTGTTATAAAGCAGAAACTAACACACCATCGTAGAGCAATTATACTCCAAAAAAGATGTTAAAAAAAAGATACATGCAAGGGCTTCCCTGGTGGCGCAGTGGTTGAGAGTCCGCCTGCCAATGCAGGGGACACGGGTTTGTGCCCCGGTCCGGGAAGATCCCACATGCCGCAGAGCGGCTGGGCCCATGAGCCATGGCCGCTGAGCCTGCGCGTCCAGAGCCTGTGCTCCACAACAGTGAAAGGCCCGCATACCGCAAAAAAAAAAAAAAAAAAAGGAAAAAAAGAGATACATGCACCTGTATGTTCATAGCAGCAGCACTATTCAAAATAGCCAAGGCAAAACAACCTAAATGTCCATCAACGGATGAACCGATAAAGAAAATGCGGTACGTATATACAATGGAATACTACTCAGCCACAAAAAAGAACGAAATAATATCATTTGCAGCAACATGGATGACCTAGAGATTATCATACTAAGTGAAGTCAGAAAAAGAAAAATACCATATAACATCACTTATATGTGGAATCTAAAATATGGCACATACGAACCTATACACCAAACAGAAACAGACTCACAGACATAGAGAACAGACTTGTGGTTGCCGAGGTGGGGAGGGAGAGGGATGGACTGGGAGTGTGGGGTTGGTAGATGCAAACTATTACATTTAGAATGGATAAACAACAAGGTCCTACTGTAGAGCAAAGGGAACTATATCCAGTCTCGTGGGGTAAACCATAACAGAAAAAAATATTTAAAAAAAGAATGTCTATATGTGTAAACTGAGTCACTTTGCTGTACAGCAGAGATTGGCACAGTGTTGTAAATCAACTATACTTCAGTAAAAAAGAAAAAAAGAGTTAGTTGACTCTGGACTGAAGAGAAAATGGGAGATCTAAAAAAATATGGAATCAGCCCACTTTCTTCCACAGGGTGCCCGGTCCATAGTTCTTTAAATAGTAGCATTAAGCCCACAAAGGCAGAAACAGAAAAAATGCTGGAGCAGACAAGGTCTGACTTCTGTGCCTGAGAGCATCTAGAAACAGTCCCTTCTCTCCAGCCCCTTTTCTCAAACAAAAAACCTCTCATAGATTTTCTACACAAAGGGTTGCCTTAGTCCCCAAATTCTGTGCCAAGAAACCTTCAAGACGGTTTCCTGTCCTCCAGATTACTGTCCAAATTAAACCAAAATCAGTAATCGTCTGAAAGTGCCAAAGCTTCTCCACTTTGTGGTGACGTACTTTGGTAAAAATATTTACCACGGCTACAAGAAGTGCTCCGTATTTTTGAGGACAAACTGCTGGAAAATTTTAGAATCACAGAAACCGTTCAAGAAGACAGAAGGGATTATTTAAAACAACATTACCTGTCCCTCAAAGTGTCTTTATATTCAAAATAGAACACAGACTGGATTAAGTTATAAAAAACAGAAGAACTGAAAATTCCTGATGTCTTCATTTCCCGTTTCCATTTTCACACACAAACCCTCAAGTGGTAAGACACATGCCAGAGACATCCAGTAGCTCTGAGTCCTCAATCGGGGAACATTTTTCCGTTCAGAAAATTATCAAATCTGATCACGCTCTTCTCACTGTGTCCATGAAAAGAAAAATCAAAGTTTGGATATAAAAATCATAAACCACCTCTACTTAGAGGAGACGGAGTTTTAACCCCTGTAATTTCACTGTAGTTGAGACCTCACTGCAGCTTCTTTGAGCAACCTCAAAGAAGCTTAACTTAGGTTGAAATATTTTATAGACAACTTCCTGGTGTTAAAACCAAACTACTAAGCCTGCACATCTGCTGAGAAACCTCTGCAAACTGCCAAACGTGCCTTACTCACTGTTCACCATTCCTCAAACCAAATCCTCTTTGGCTGGGACACTAGGGTTGTAGAAATGCACGTTCAGGGAATGACAGATGGAGGACATAAGGGTTCACTGCTGGGATACGACCATAAAGCACTGCAGCAAGACAGACCCGAGTTCGGAAACAGGTTCTCACACCACTTGTCTGTCTATAGCTCAAGTTCTTACTAGTGAGTAATACAGACGTGGTTCATCAGCTTTCAAACTAAGCAACTGACATTTGAAGATTAATCCAAGCCACATATGAGCAAAAAAGAAAAAGTGATCCTTTCCTCAGGAAATTCGGCAAAGTTAATGATGGGTTAAACTTGACTCAAGTTAAAACTTACAGGGGTGGGGGTTGACAAGGAGAGAAAGAGTAAAAAGGGCAGGGGCTCCCGCCTCAACCCAATGTGGAGATGGGTCACATGCATACTGACCAACAAACAATATGGAGCAGTAACACGATTATCTCCTGAAAAAGTTATCAACTAGGCGATTTCATTTTAAGGGCACAAAATTCCACCAGCAAGAATCTCACTCCCATCCTCGTAGAAATCTGTTTCATCTCCGATTTAAGTTCATCCTAACAGGCAGTGCTTCCCAACACCAATACTGATAAAAATAAAGAAAACTGGTGCTTAACATTCTCTACATGCTCAGCAGATGTTAGTTTTCCCATAAAAAATGCTACTCAAGGTGGACACTGCCTAACACAGCGCCTGCCCTCAGGCTGCGAACTGTAAAATCGCGTTACACGGTAAAAACAGTTTCTTCAGGTAAGATAAATAATGTCATTTTCTGATTTCCAAGTCACTAATAAGCCTAATCGCTTAGATGGTACCTACGCCCGAAAAACAGGACACTGTGTACCGTTCCCTCAGTACCTCAGGGAGGCGCCCCAGTCCCACCTGCCTTTAGACAGTCCTTCCTTTAAACCCGCTCCTGCGCAGCCACAGGGGACCCCCTCCCCAATCCCCGCCGCGCTGAGAAACACGCGACTCTAAGCGGCAGAGCCGGCTAGTTTCTAAGACTCGCGGCGCTCTGCACCCGCGCCCGTGCACACCTGGGGGAAGCTGGCGCGTCCCGGAACGTCCCTGCGGAACCTGGGCCCGGGGGCGGCCCGCACTCAGAGGGCGGGGCGGGCGGCCCTGCGAACTCTGGGCGCTCGGCGGCTGTACCCGCATCCCGGTGACCCCGAGCCTCCGACCCAGCAACCCCCAGGCACCAGCCAGGGCAGCGGAGGCTTTGCACAGCGTGGGCGGCACAGGCCTCGGCAGCTGCGTCCTCCCCCTCTCAGCGCCTCCATCCCCGGCCCCACCCCGCCCGGAGGGTCCCTAAGACACGCCCCGCGCTGCAGCGTCGGGGACCCTCCCCCTCCTACCCGGCAGCTCCGGGAGAGACCGCCCCCCCCGCACGCACGGCCGCGCCCACCCCGCCCCCGCCCGGCGTGCAGGAGGTGGGGGAGGGGACGGCGAAGCGCGAGTCCCCCCCCCAAAGCAGAGCCGCGCTGCAGGGGGTGCACCTTGCGCTTGCGGGCCTCCGCCGAGCCGCTCCACACGAAGCACTGATAAATGGCGCGCAGGTTCTGCTTCCAGTTGTCCACCTTGAAGCTGCCCAGGTGCGCACAGCCCGGAGGCGTCACCACCAGCTCCGCGTCCATGGCCTCGCCGTCCGGCTCGCGCCGGGGCGCCGGCGGAGACGAGGACGACGCCAGCGCGACGCGGGGCTGCGGGCGGCACGGCCAAGGGACAGGCCCGGAACAAAGCGGAGTCTCGCGACCGGGGTGGCGGGCGCCGCCCGCGCTGCGCTCGCGGGTAGCCGAGGCCGCAACAGCGCTACGTCATCGCCGCCGGGGCGCGCCGCGCATGCGCCAGCCGCCGGCGGCTCGCCCGCCGCCCCCTCCCCCATGGGCTCGGGCAGGCGATGGGTGGAGCTGGAGAGGCTCCGCCCCTTCGCCCCCGCCATTGGTCAGCGGCGGCCGCGTGACGTCCCGCCCTCCGAGGAGGCGAGGCGGGACTGGACCTGTTTGCGCCGGCGGGCGCTGCCGCAGGGGCGGAGCTGGCGGGGTTGGGGGGCGGCGGTCGCTGGTCCCCACCGGGTCGCAGTGCGGTGAATCCGGTCAGGCTTGCCGCACGTGGACTCTGGACTTCCCGATAGGAAGCAGGGAACCACAGACTCGCGCGCTGTATCAGGTTTCGCCGAGGCGTCGCCGTCCGGCTCGCTAGCCGCACATTCACGGCTCCGGGAGCTCGAGTCCCGCGTCCTCCGGGTGGGCTGTGCACCTGCTGGCGGACCCCGCAGGTGCGGGAGGTCCGTGAAGACAGGTGCCAGCTTCTCGAGGGCTTTTCACTGCGTCCCGCGCCGGCCCACCTCCGCAGCTAAAAGACGGAGAAATAAAGATGTTGTCGCGGCAGTTAGAGCTCAGGGCCCGGCTGGAGGGGTGTGGGGTGAAGCTTCTGTGGTCGGGACACTGGCCGGCACGCTGGCCTAGGGCCTTGGTGCTTGCAGCCCCTCCGCCTGAAGCCTGCCCGACCCCAGCCCGTGGCTTTATCAGACGCCGCCTGCCCAGCGAGGCCTTCTCCTCCACCCTACTGGACCTCACGAGCCCCCTAAATCCTTCATCTCCTTACCCAAAGAATTTATTTCCTTGTTCTTTTAATATTTGTTTATTTATTTGGCTACACCGGGTCTTAGTTGCGGCACGTGGGATCTTTGTTGCCCTATGCGTGATCTTTAGTTGGCATGTGGACTCAGTTGTGGCATGCATGTGGGCTCCAGTCCCCTGACGAGGGATGGAACCCGGGCCCCCTGCATAGGGAGGGAGGAGTCTTAACCACTGGACCACCAGACTTCCCTGCCCTGTTTTTTAATTAACTATTCCCAACGTAGCATGAAAACTCCATGACGGTAATGATTTTTGTGTTTTATTAACGTCAGTATCGCCCAGTGCCCAGAGTAGTACTAGTTATATGCAGGTTCTCAAAAATAAATGTTTATCTAATTAATTAACCCAAACAAACTTTTATAGGAGAATCTAATAAGATCATTCTCAGAATAAAACACAGGTGAAGTAAGGCACGTTATGGATATGTTAAAGAAAGGTGTATCCGTTTAATAAAAAGTAAACTCAGAAATAGTTAGGAGTTACAAATTATATGTGATTCACCTCTATTAATATTCAATGTCACGAGTATTTTAGTTTTACTGTTCTTGTAAATATGATTCGGTTTCAAGAATGTGCCCTTAGGGACTTCCCTGGTGGCGCAGTGGATAAGACTCTGCACTCCCAATGCAGGGGGCCCAGGTTCCATCCTTGGTCAGGGAACTAGATCGCACTTGTATGCCGCAACCAAGGGTTCGCATGTGCAGCTATGGATCCCGCCTGCTGCAACTAAGACCCGGCGCAACCAAATAAATAAATAAATATTAAGAAAAAAAAAAGAACGCCCTTAGAATTCAGGCCCCTAATATCTATTGATCACATTTTTTATCAGTATGGTCATCCAACCTTGGGAGAATTTCTGTGCTCTCTACTTGGATTATAAATAATGATTTGAAATGCCCTGTAACAGCCTCATACATAAATAAATTAAAACACGATATATCCTTGAAAAGCAGTTCCGAGAAGAGTCATGGATGAAACTGTTTACTACGGCATTTTTTTTCTAATGGGAAAAAAGCTGAAAACACCCTAAATGACCATTAATAGGCAAATGATTGAGTAAACTATTAACTAGGCATTCTAGGGAATGCTATGCTGCTGTAAAAAAATGACCTAGGTTTCTAAGTACTAATATGGAAAGTCTATAAGACATACATGAATAAAACAAGTTGCCGAAAAATACAGATAGTATGGTGACATTTACCGAAAAATAATACTGTATGTGAGTATCTATTAAAGGGCTGGGAGAAACAAACAAATCAATCATAGTTAATGTCTGCTGAGGGACAACTTCATCTATGGCATTTGAATTATTTTATAATAAGAATTAATCGTAGTATTTCATACTTAAAAAATCACTAAAACTTGAAATGACAAAATGTTCTAAGGTGGGGAAAGGGGACTTGCTCAAGTTCCACAGCATCTAGAAAACGGGTCCGGAAGTTCCATTCATGCATCCACCCAGAAAACAAGTCAGACTCTTAACCTTCAGTTCTGGCTCCACCACTTTCTGCCTGGGTAACATGAGGCAGATTGCTTATCTGTTAAAATTGGGGTGACACCAACTCAGTGCTTACATTAAAGGGTTACAGCACAGAATAAATGGTAATGCATGCCAAGCCCTTAGTACGTGCCTGTTGTTTAATTAAGGGCTTGAGAAACAGGGACTTCCCTGACAGTCAAGTGGTTAAGACTCCACGCTTCCACTGCAGGGGACTTGGGTTCAATCACTAGTTGGGGAACTAAGATCCCGTATGCCGCAGAGCAGCGCAGCAAAATAAAAAAAAAGAAACATTAGCAATTGATCTGGAAGTTGCTGGGCATTGAAATGATTGACAATATCCTACTTTAAGAATCCCACAGTGTAGTGGGATAAATAGGAACACTAGCAGGCAGTTTCAGTACAGCCATTGCTGTGTATCCATAGGTACCACATCCAAGGATTCAAGCAACCTCGGATGGAAAATATTTGAAAAAAAATGCCAGAAATTTCCAAAAAGCAAACTGTGCACTGGCCACAGCTTACATAGCTTTTACGTTGTACTTACAACTATTTACACAGCATTTACATTGTAACAGGTATTATAAGTAATCTAGAGGTGATTTAGGTATACGGGAGGATGTGGGTAGGTTATATACCACTTTATATAAGGGACTCGAGTATCTGCAGGTTTGGGTATCTACAGAGCGTCCTGGAACCAGTCCCTTGAGGATACTGAGGGATGACTGAAGTATGAAATTGCAGAGATAGAGGAAAGTCCAGGTAACATGAAAACCCTCCAAGACACCTCTCACCCTAACCCTTCCCAGGCGGTTGCAGTGGAGGGGATCTGGAAATGTTTCCTATGCCTGACCTAAGAGTAGAAGGATGGGCAAGAGCTGGCCAGTTTAAAAATAAGTGATATGGGGCTTCCCTGGTCGCGCAGTGGTTGAGAGTCCGCCTGCCGATGCAAGGGACACGTGCCCTGGTCCGGGAGGATCCCACATGCCGCGGAGCGGCTGGGCCCGTGAGCCATGGCCGCTGAGCCTGCGCGTTCGGAGCCTGTGCTCCGCAACGGGAGAGGCCACAACAGTGAGAGGCCCCCGTACCGCAAAAAAAAAAAAAAAAAAGTGATATGGTCAGGTATTTGTCTCAAAAGGCATTTCCCACTATCCATGGGACTAACATGGCCTAAAATGTTATTCTCTATGTCTGTTTTTTGTTTGTTTTGTTTAGTTTTCAATTTTTTTTTAATGTAAACATCCATGGAATTGTGCTTTCAACATGGTCAAGTATATCCTATAATCCTCTCTCAGATAACAACTATGAACTCTTGTCAGAATGCAAACACAAATACCTGAAGGCATTGGAGAATGAGCCCAATTGTGAGGAAGTAGACGCTTGGACGAAGGGACCTGCCCCGAGGAAGAGACCTGTTTTTTATGGCTTATAGACTGAGGACAGACCACGCTAGCAGGAGCCCGAACAGGGAGGTTGAAGCTCTGATAGAAAACGCACAGTCTTTCTGGACTGAAGAATTAGAGAACAGAGCACAGAAAAACTAAAGCCACTGAAAAGCGAGGACAGAGTCAGGGAAGGGGAGCCCCAGAGTCCGTGGATAAACCACATGCAAGTTGACCACTGAATCACTCGTGCGGGGGGCAAATTCCAGCAGCCCAACTGGAACGAAAAGAAATGAGTGGAGATTTAAGCTGCTGCCCAAAAAATGGTTAAATTAAAAAAAAAAGTTTCTGTTTTTTAAATATAAGATTCAATACCCACGTTGCTTGATGTGGAAATTGTGTGGTTTAGCTGAAACGTGATTTCAGCTCTTAAGTTCAAGTCTTTTTGTGTGTGACGTAACAAAGTAGTCCAGTTTCATTCTTTTGCATGTAGCTGTCCAGTTTTCCCCACCCTGTTTTTTTTTTTTTTTCCTGGGCCGTGCCATGTGGTATGTGGAATCTTAATTCCCCGACCGGGAACTGAACCCACGCCCCTTGCAGTGGAAGCTCGGAGCCCTAACCACTGGACGGCCAGGGATTGCCCCCAACACCATTTTTGGAAGAGACCGTCCTTTCCCCATCATATATTCTTGGCTCCTCTGTCGTAGGTTAATTGACCATGTCTGAGAGGGTTTACTTCTGGGCTCTTAATTCTGTCCCACTGATCTAGGTGTCTGTTTATATACCAATACCACACTGTTAATCACCCTAGCTCTGGGATACAGTTTGGAGTCACGCCGTGCTGCCTCCAGTTTCCAGCTTTGTTCTTCTTTCTCAAGATTTTTTGGGGTTTTTTTGGTGGGGTGATTTTTTGGCTATTCAGGATCTTTTGCAGTTCCATACAAATTTTAGAATTATTTGTTCTAGCCTATAAATTTTTTTATTTTTTTTGCGATACGCGGGCCTCTCACTGACGTGGCCTCTCCCGTTGCGGAGCACAGGCTCCGGATGCACAGGCCCAGCGGCCATGGCTCACGGGCCCAGCCGCTCGGCGGCATGTGGGATCTTCCCAGACCGGGGCACGAACCCGTGTCCCCCGCATCGGCAGGCGGACTCTCAACCACTGTGCCACCAGGGAAGCCCAAGCCTATAAACTTTTGTGAGGCTGTTTTCAGTTCTCTTGGGAATATACCTAGGGATGGAATTGTTGGGTCCATGGTAACTTTATGTTTAACCTTTTGAGGAGCCTCCAGACTGTCTTCCACAGCAGCTGTACCATCTTACTTTCCCACCAGCAGTGTATGAGTGTTCCAGTTTCTCCACATCCTCACTAGCATGTTATTTTCCTTATTATTTTTTAAAATATTTATTTATTTATTTGGCCGTGCTGGGTCTTAGTTGCAGCACGCGGGCACTTAGCTGAGGCATGTGGGATCTAGTTCCCTGACCAGGGATCGAACCCAGGCCCCCTGCACTGGGAGCGCGGAGTCTTAACCGCTGGACCACCAGGGAAGTCCCTCCTTATTATTTTGTTTATTTATTTATTTATTTATGGCTGCGTTGGGTCTTTGTTGCTGCACACAGGCTTTCTCTAGTTGTGGCGAGCGGGAGCTACTCTTCATTGTGGTGCACAGGCTTCTCGTTGCAGTGGCTTCTCTTGTTGCGGAGCACGGGCTCTAGGCATGCGGGCTCAGTAATTGTGGCACGCGGACTCAGTAATTGTGGCGCATGGGCTCAATAATTGTGGCGCATGGGCTTAGTTGCTCCGTGGCGTGTGGGATATTCCCGGACCAG